GAGTTTTACGTGAATCAAAGCAGTTTTTGAGTAAAATAAAATTTGAACTCGATCGGATTTCAAGTCTCAAACACCCATTTCGCTCGACTAGTATGGTAACAGGGTATACGCGAGACAATCAGTGATTGGCAAAGAGGTGGCAGAGATTAGCGATAAGCATCTGACATTTGACGGGCTGCCTGGCATACCAAAACGTGCCCAAGCGATCCCAAATGGCGACGGACTCGCAATTGAGTCGAACAGTTGTCGCTTTAGTTGGATATATGACAGGTCCGTCGCTTTCTTGAGCGTAGAAATTCAAGCAGTGCCCATTAGAGGATCGCACCCCAGACACAGTCGTTCCACCTCCAAGGGAGTTATCTTTGCCAACTGAATCGCAATACTTTTCAGATATTCAATATATCGAAGTGGACATAAAGTAGAGAGCGATAGTATAAGATTTAAGATCTTACTTTCTTTTGTTTTCATTCTAGCTTAAACATGCAATGCGTTTTTTTCGTATTTTCCAACACTGAACGAATGCCAATTACCTATTCTATGCTCTATCTAGAGCTCTGATTACCGGAACTATAGGCATATTTGATATATCAGATATTCCTGATCAGATATTTAATATATCGAAGTGGACATAAAGTAGAGAGCGATAGTATAAGATTTAAGATCTTACTTTCTTTTGTTTTCATTCTAGCTTAAACATGCTATGCGTTTTTGTTGCACTTTCCAACACTGAACCAATCCCAATTACCTATTCTATGCTCTATCTAGAGCTCTGATTACCGGAACTATAGGAATATTTGATATATCAGATATTCCTGATCAGATATTCAATGCATCGAAGTGGACATAAAGTAGAGAGCGATAGTATAAGATTTAAGATCTTACTTACTTTTCTTTTCAATCACTTTCCAACACTGAACGAATGCCAATTACCTATTCTATGCTCTATCTAGAGCTCTGATTACCGGAACTATAGGAATATTTGATATATCAGATATTCCTGATCAGATATTCAATGCATCGAAGTGGACATAAAGTAGAGAGCGATAGTATAAGATTTAAGATCTTACTTACTTTTCTTTTCAATCACTTTCCAACACTGAACGAATGCCAATTACCTATTCTATGCTCTATCTAGAGCTCTGATTACCGGAACTATAGGCATATTTGATATATCAGATATCTATTTGCTATTTGGTATAGATCAGACCCGAATCATCCCACTATATATATATATATATATATGCATGCAGGTATAGCATGTCCTATCCAGCGAGCGGGTACTGTATTTATTGATGTATTTCTGGTAATGCCATGTTTGTACTTGCTTTGTACTCTTTGGGTTGGAAGTGCATACAAATAGATTCGGACTTGGCCAAACGGACAGACAGTTTGACATTTGTGTGTGTGGGATGCGTGTGCGTGTGTGTGTGCGTGTGCGTGTGTGTGTGTGTAGCATTTTGGCTTCGACTTGGAAGTTTTGCTGCAGCTTTGGGCATCTCATTCAAAGTAAATATTTACATGCGAGTGTGTGTGTGTGTGTGTGTGTGTGTGTGTGTGTGTGTGTGTGTGCAAGGCATAGCCGCTGTCGCCGCTGCGTTCGTCGTTTGTTTATGCATTGCATATATGCATGTATGTACATATGTATGTATGCATGTATGCAGGCTGTGCATGTGGCGTCGTTGCACACACACACACACACACACGCACACACTCACTAACACAAAGATACGTACAAGAGAATCCATATCAGCACGCCACAGCAAGAACAACAATTATGCCCTGCCAAACGTATGAAAGTTCAAGCACACACACACACACACACACACACCAGCAAACGCATGCACAGAGTTGCCATATAAAGGCAAACAAACATGCGGCGACGGCGACGTGCGGCGAAGGCGAAGGCGATGACGGCGATTGCCCAGCCGGGCCACGCCAGGCCAGGCCAGCCAGTCAGCCCAGGCCGAGTCGGCAGAGTCGGCAGAGTCGAGCCAGACAGTCTGTCGCCAGAAAAATCTACACACAACAACAGCAACACACACCACAGCAGCAGCAGCAACAGCAACAACAGCAACAGCAGCAACAACAACAACGGCGACAAGAGCGCAAGCCGAAAAACGAGGGCATGGGCGGGCAGTATTTGTGGGAGGGGTCGGGGCAGCGCGGGCGATGGCGTTGGCGATGACGGCGTTGTTCAAGTCGTTTGCGTCGCCGTTGGCGTCGCAGTTGGCAGTGCGCAGCGCTGTATCTGGTTGAGAAATCGTTTCAATGCGCAGAGCAAAGCAAAGCGAAGCCAAAGCCAAAGCAAAAGCAAAAGCGAGGCAGAATTCCATTTAGATTATATTCTTTGTTTTTTTTTTTGTTTTTTGGTTGTTGTTGTTGGCGCTTTTGACGAGCGGGCAACGTGTTGTGCGGCAGCTTGGTAGGTGTTACAATACATAATACACGTCGCACACACACACACACACACACACACACACACACACACACACACACTCAGGCACATGTGCATATATGCAGCGCTGCCAATGCGGACGACAACGACGCGCATTGCCAGACCGTTCGGCGCGCACAGCCGTCACATAACGTCATCGCCAGCATGGGGAGGGGGGGAGAGCAGCGGGGCATTGGCGTGCACCACGGGGGGTGCTTAATGTTTAGGCTGCTTATGCTGTGCCACACACACACACACACACACACACGCCCGCACACTTTGTGTGTGTTGTGCGCGCACCACCTAACACCGCCCAACCCCCAAACCCCTTTGAGTCTTACGCCCCTGGCCGCTGAGCTGCTTGTTTTTAGTTTGACGACGCTGCGACTCGAATACGAATTTTATCGCCCACGATTTGTGTTTGTTTGTTTGTTTGTTTGCTTTTGATACCCTACCCTAGCCACTAATACACAAACAACAACTGGCATTCGCACACACACACACACACACACACACACATATATATATTTATATATATATTGCACATGGGCCACTTAACTGCAGGCGCAGCAGCAACAAGATCAGCGGGGGGGGGGGGGTGTTGGCTACGGGGCAGGGTTGTCGCTTTGCTTTCGACTAGCTAACTAACTAACGTGCCAGATGCGTGTGTGCTTGCTCAACACCCCCCTTCCCCCACCCTCTTTCACCCCACCCTCTGACTCTTATCGTTTAACAACGCGCTATCCCCATAGACAAACAGTCGCGTCCAAGTTTCCAATCGAATCCCAAAGCATTTTAATAAAATGCAATTCGTTTTCAATATTACGCATGTTAAGTACAGTAATCGCTCGTTGGAACATCCACATATTGGAAATCTAAGTTATTGTTTTATTTTTTTCATTATTAATATTTTTTTTTTTTTGCGTACTTCCCAAGAGAGTTTTCCATGCATTTCACAATTTACACACTTTGAGCTTAATTTAATTTATTTATTTTTTAAGTTAGATCATCTCGAAATGATATCACAGTTAGACGCTGGAAGTCCCTAGTTACGAGTGCGCAAATACAGTGCTCGCTCGCTAATTGCAACTTGAAGAAATGTGAATTTAATGCAAGATTCTTAAATAATAAATATTATTATTATATATTACAAAATATTGGCCTAGATTTTTGAATCAATTCTTAAAAATCCCTTTTCAACTTAGCCTCTACTTTTGTTATATAAAACGCAAAGAAATCGCAAAAATTATAATAAATTCGAAATATGAAATAATCTTTTCATATTATTTATTTAAAAATTAATATAATATATATATATAAATAAACATTATATAGTTTGCTGCAAATAATGGGACCTTTCATTCCGCACGGCTTCACTTAGCGAGCGACCACTGTAGCGGACACTGAAATTAAAATCTGGATCATATGCATAATATAATTTCACTTTAATTGCATTTCCTGCTTAGCAAGAAGCTCTGTATTGCGAGGCCAATAGGAAGAGATGGATGAGTGGAAGGGGGAGGGGGGGGGTTGGGGGGGGGGGGGTCAACAACAACCGCAAAGGAGCTGTCAAAGCTGCGGTTAACCCTTTCCAGGATAGCGTATACGACAAACGAGAGAAACCTGGAAGGCGTCGTGCGGCGAATCGCTCGGAATTGGGAATCGGGTCGCCTCTCGGGCAGCCACAGTCAACTGTACTAAAGATAGAAGTGAGCATGAACACGTTCTCACTTACACACACACGCGCGCAAACACACACACACACACACACACGCGCGGAGAGCAGGCAAGCAAACATACAGGAAACGTGGACGCCAAAAAAAAAAAAAAAAAAAAAAATAAAGGCACAGAAAAATGTGAAGGGACGGGCACGGCGGCGCTGAAGCGGGGCGGACGCTGCATAAGTGCATCATGATGTGGTCTGAAACCCAACACTGTTGCCTGGCTGCGAATATTAAAATACCCACTTAAGACCAACAACAACAACGAACAGAAACAACAACAATCGTAAGTAGTACCCTTACACACACACACACACACACACACAGCGCGCTGCCAGATCAACTGCAGCCAGGAGGCAGCCAGACATTGGCGCCCTTAGCACTTGGTTTGTGCTCTTGAGGCTAAGAATATCTTTGAGTTGAGTGAGACGAGGGCAAGAGCGCGCGCGCGGCCACGTCTGGCGCTCAAGTAGTTAGCCAGGCAAAAAGAAGACGAAGCAGCAGCATAACCTTAACCAAATCAAGCAATTTACTTGCTTTAATGGTCATTTCCTTTGTTGCTGCACGCACTGCCTGCTGCGACTAAACTAAAAGTGCATAAATAACATAAGCGTAAAGAGCGCTTTATAAATAACACACTTCAAAATGTTTAAACAAATTAATGCACTCAATTAATGCCTTCAATTCAAATGCAGCGCCTAAGCTCACAAACAGTGTGTACACATGTGGGCAAATGCAACTCCAAAGTGCGCAAACGTGAACGCATAAATGCGCTATGATATGCGCATAGCTGAAGCTATCGATAGCAATCGCTAACACTTATCGATAAGCTGGCAAATTTTCCACACACTGTCCTCGCTAATAGTGTGTGCGTGTGTGTGTGTGAACGCGTTGATTAACTAGAAAATACTTCAATAAACCAAATCAAAAACCACCCACAAAATGTCAACAATTTAAATTTTGTTGCATTTTGCCATAGACAGGTGCTGAGTGAGCGAGCGAATATAGCAGGCAGCAGCAATAACAAACAAGCAACAATAACAAAAACCAGACAGCTGCTGCTGGAAGGCATTCAAACAACAACAAAGACAAACACACGCACACACACACACACACACACACACACACAGGGAAAAAAACAAATACAAAGGCAGCTTTTCCAGAAATTGGGTCGCGTTCTTTTCTTTTTTTTTTCGGTTCTTTGGTTTTTGTTTTTGGCATTTGGCATTTGTTATGGCAACTTTGGGCACATGTTTCGGTTAGTTTCCCGTCTCTGGGGCAATATATTTTTGCATGAAAATTGTTTTGTGATCAAAAGTTGATGGCATTTTCCTTGTGTGTTTTTCTCTCTTGCAGCCTGAATCGCAGGTGTGCCCAGTAGACAAGTGAACCTGTGAACCTACAGCAGCACCAGCAGCAGAAGCAGCAGCGGCAGCAATGAGCGTCGTTGGCAAGCAACTGAATCCCGTGCAAACAAACTCTGCCGCCGTCGCCGCCAACTCAACGGCGGCTGCTGTCGCGGCGGGCAGCAGCAGCGAGGTCAACAATGCAAATGCTGCCGCAGCAGTTGTCGCTGCCGCCGCCGCCGCCGCCGCTGGCGATGCCAAGCGCAAGGAGGAGTCGAATGTAACGCCCGAGGATGTGCTGCGTCTGAACAAAATAACGGACGACTATCTGTGCTCGGCAAATGCCAATGTGTTCGAAATAGACTTTACACGCTTCAAGATACGCGACCTGGAGAGCGGCGCCGTCCTCTTTGAGATAGCCAAGCCGCCCAGCGAGCAGTTCCCCGACGGCCTCTCCGTTGAGGACACCATGCTGGCCGCCGCCGAGGATCTAACGCTCGATGACACTGCCGATCCCAATGCCGGGCGCTATGTGCGCTATCAGTTCACGCCGGCTTTCCTCAACCTCAAGACAGTGGGCGCCACGTAAGCCAAGATAGCGGAGTGAGTACAGTGAAGGCTCTGTAAGGTGATCTTATCGTATGCTCCAAGCCCATTGAGAGCGCCTTTAGCGAGCTTTCACTGTACATTCGATTTATGTGCCAATTAAGTAATATAGCATATATTTGCTTCCAGGGTGGAGTTCACCGTGGGCAGCCAGCCTGTGAATAATTTTCGCATGATCGAGCGACACTTTTTCCGCGATCGCTTGCTTAAGACATTCGACTTTGAGTTCGGCTATTGCATTCCATATTCGAAGAATACGTGCGAGCACATCTACGAGTTTCCCAATCTGCCACCAGATCTGGGTGAGTAATGCCATGCCGCCTGCCCAGTCACGGCCCGGGCCCCGCCCAATCGAATATATGCATATGTATATATATAAGTGCAGCTGCTGCCAGCTGCCAGCTGGCGGCGGGTCAAGGCCATGTGCACACGCGCTCACAGTGCGCATTCGATATGACGAACAGATGGCCACTAAATAGTTGACGAGCAAAAGAAAACTTAACCCAAGCAAAGAAATGTTTGATGACATTCAAATTGAACATACAAATTGAACAGCATAGCGAATGCGCACTGTATTCAACTAGGTCAGAGCGTTATTACCGCTTTTTTTTTTGTTGCCTTTCCAGTGGCTGAAATGATATCGAGTCCCTTCGAGACGCGCTCGGACAGCTTTTACTTTGTGGAAAATCGACTCGTGATGCACAACAAGGCGGACTACGCCTACGACGGCGGGATTATTGTCTAACTGCGGACAGCAGCAGCTAAACTATGACTAAAAACTAGAGCAAAACTAAATAGCTAAAACTAAAACTCAAAACTAAAACTAAAAGAAAAGGCAGACACAAGACGAAGACGAAAACCAAAGCAAGCAACAAAAACAAAACAATTTAATTAAAGGAATAAAAACCATTTTAGCCTTAGCACCATGTTTTACCCACCATTCCTGTTTAATGTATTTATTATGATAAACAAATACACACACACGCACACACACACGCGCGCACACACACGCACACATCCACACGCAAACTGTGTTCATTTATAAGCAAAAACTGTAAAACATTAAGAAAACAAAAATATTTGACTTAATAACGAAAACAATTTAATTTATAAGTGCAATGTGATTTTCTTGCAACACACCTCCCTCCCTCCCAAGCAACCCTCAACTAATTTAACTAATTTGTATTTATTTAATTGTACTTTAAGCGACAAAAGCCACACACATACATATTTCAAATACATTACATGTATACACATCAAGCAGGCCACGTTTTGCGATGCTAAGTTCATAATTATGAATTGAACGTTTTGTTTTATGTGTATAGATTTTTTTTAAATGCCGTCTTTTGCTACATAAATCCAAGCATAAGAAAGAGAATTAAATTTACATTTGAAATGTGCAAGTATTGTTGCTTTATTTAGTTCCCAGACACATCAAATTGTCGTATGTAAGGCAGAACTTGAACTCATTTGGCTTCTATTTTGTTATTTTAATTCGTTCTGCATTCTATTGCAATCTCGCTCTGATTAGTGTAGACATAAGAATTTGGCAACTTGTTTCAGTTAAGTTTATTCAGGTTAAGGCTCGTTTAGGAACTGTGTGACTATCTCGATGAACTTGTGCGGCTCCTCCAGATGGACCAAATGGCCCGTGTCCAGCCAATGCAGGCTGGCATTGGGAAAGAATTTCAGCACCTCGGGCCAATCGTCGGGACTGACATAGTGAGAGAGAGAGAGAGAGAGAGAGATACAAATTAATCTCACTTTGATGGGATCGTGTTGAACTTACTTCATATAAGGCGAGTGGGTGCCACAGATAAAGGTGGTGGGTCCCGTGAATGCCGGCAGATTAGCTATATGTGCACCGTAATGGGTAAAACCAGCCAGACTGTTATGCAGGACATCCACATTGCAGGTCCAGTAAAATCTGTAAGAGTTCGTACGATTGAGCAATGCTTTAACACTTAACACATGCAATTTTTGACATACTCGCCGGTTTGTGGTCTCTTTCGCAGATTCAATAAAATAAAGTCAACCGAGTCATGGCCAACGGTCTGCATGAGCATCTCCTTGGCAGCCTGGCGGCCCTTTGACAATGATAAATCGGCGGGCAGCGAAACATCCTTCATGGCACTGAAAATGCTTCCCATTTCGCCAATTGTTCTGGGTATGGATACAGGCGAAATGTCCACCACAATCAAGCGTTCCGATAGTTGAGGCTGCAGGCAAAAAGAAACGTAAGGTAAGTCCCGTCTCCCTCTCCCTCTCTCTCTCTCTCCCCCTGTCTTTGGAGATCTTTATACACACATTATTCAAGGCAAAGTGCATGGCTGCACGTCCGCCCATGCTGTGTCCCATCAGACAGGCTTTGGGTATCGACTTGGCATGCGTGAAGGCCACCAAATCCGCCGTCATGCCGTCCGAGTTATGCGTATCCGCGTGCGGACTATCGCCATGATTACGCAAATCCACCGTATAGACCTGTAATTGTGTGCATTTAATGCGTAACGCATTCCGCAAATATATAGATGTTTACTTGCTTACGCGACGATTGGTCTGCTTGGCCAGAGCCCTGCTCACGCTGCGCCAGTTCTGTTTGGAGCCAAACAAGCCGTGCATTGTGATAAGGGGGGATCGGCTGGCATCGGGTGTGGGTCCATCGAATTGATCGTGGCTGAGAGCCAAGGCCGGCACATTCGCATAATGCCGGCTATGCTGTTCCACACAGCGGTTGCATCGGGCAGCTGCTGGGTAGGGGCGAATTAGGCATTTGAGATTCAATTTGGCAGCGTGAAGCGCTTGAAAACAACGTAACGTTCCGTTCAACAGCTGCATTTCGCTAGAGTTGCAAAGCAGTTATCGATTGTGCGATTGTTACATTTCCATAAATGCATAGGCATCGATAACTTAAATGGCCATGGGCAGGTACCACCAATTGCCTTTGTATTTGTTAAGTGTAGGCTCCACAATTCAAATATAGTAACAAAACAAAATGCCACTTTGATAGACATTACACAGCTTTCGACACACAAAAGTTGAAATAAAAATATAAATATATATGTCTACAATCAGGCAATGTACATAGCTATGGGCTTTGTAGAAGACTAGAAGTTAAACAAATAAGTATATGCATTAAAATAAACAAAAATGGCTGTTAACTTGTTAATATAGAAATGCAGCTCTCATCGGCAATCAGCATTAAATATCGATAGTCAAACAGGCGAGCATGCGATAGTACCATAGAGCGCAGCTCTAGGCAATGTTGCTCAGCCCTAATATTTTCTGCAGTTGCGGCGGCATCGTTTGTGACAAAAGAATTTCTGCTTAAAAAAGAGTCGCACGCTAATATCAATAAATTTAATAGAACTCAATAAGGAACAGGTAAAAGCTTTAACCAAGCGCCAGCAATATTGCAAACCAAGCTGCAAACTTTTAACGGCGGGCCACGCAGGAAAAGCAAACAGGGAGAAATTGACGAAAGCAATCGACGGCGCACACACACACGCACATAAAACACAGAGGCACGTTTACGCATACAACTTTACACGAAGCCGGAGCCGGAGCCTGCTGATAGATTTTTTTTTTATATATTATTTGGCCTGGACACGCCGACTAGCGACAGAGGAAGTGATAGGCAAAGGAGGAGCGACGCCTGCAACTGCGGCAATTGCGTTTAGGTGAGCAACAACAACAAACTGTGCACATTTGCATTACAACCAACAATTGATATATATATATTTTCAAGTATTCTATTTTTCCCCTCCAACACTACGTAAGTGCAAAAAAAAAAAAAAAAAAAATAAGAAAAGAAAAGTGGTTTACACACAACAAAAAATAACAAAAAGTATAATTTAATCAAAAGACTAAATGTATAACGCTTCAACAAATCGTATAAGACTTGTGAATTCTGTGAAAAAGTTGTGCTTGAAAATCGGAAAGCTCCGTCTCTCTACTGTCTTTCGCTGAGAGAGTAAAACCTGCGATGCGATTCAGTTCAGTTTCAATTGTTTAAATGTTTTCAACAACAACTTTGTCGGTCGCGAAAAGTGCGAAACAAAAAATGTACAAAAAAATACCGCAGAAGCAAATAAAAAAAAAAAAAATACCAACAACACTAAAAACGTATATGAGATGTCGAATGTCATATACAAGTAACCTGTGTGTGTGTGCGTATATATACTAAATATACATATATATATATATATGTACATACTTATATATATATTTATATTTATATATGTGTGTGTTTGTGTTTCTTGTATTTATTTGTAGCCCCGAGACATGATCAAACGTAGTTCTTGTATTATTCAGTTTCGTATAACAAGTATAACAATTGTTATATACAGTTAATTATTGCTCACTCTCTGTTGTCTTTTGTTCGCGTAAAGTCGATATACGAGTTTAAAGTAAACAATCACAACACACACATAAAAAAACTATATAAATAAACTATATAAAAAGTAAAAGTACAATTATGAAGGTAAGAATTCAACAAAGTGAACAGAAAACTTAACGTTCAAAACTTTTCTTTCCCCTCCAATCATAAAAAATAAAAAACAAAACCTTTCAGTAAAAAAGAAAATAAATGCACAGTCGACACACAAAATGCATATTTGGAACCCAAATAAAGAAGTACTTAGGAAATAGTACCGTTAACCCATTAAGCACCCGAACTTGACCTTGCATTGGCACAATTCTCACTGCAACCAGTGTTGCCAAATGCCGCCTCAAAAGAAATAGCTAAAATCCATGTTAAAAATAGCTAAACACAGCTGAAAAGAATAGACACAAATTGGTTTTAGATAGGATTTTCTTCTCACTGTGAAGCCAAAAAAAGGCTAAATCCATTTGAAAGCTCAACTTTTTCCCGCTGACAACTTTTAAAAATCATCAAATTTAGCTAGAAAATAGTTGACTCTTGATTTTCTCTTTAGCCCTAATTTGCAACAGATCTTCAAGAATAAGACTTAACATATTTTCGTTTGGCTCTTTATTATTGTTGTTGTGTCTTATATTGATAACCAGGTTCCTGTCATATAGCATTTATCTGTTGCCTTTGCTAGATTAGTTTCATGGGGCTGTGTCCAATCGAACGTGGTTCGTTGTACGTTTTTGCTTGATATCGTATCGTATGATATCATACCAAGAAATCATTTTAAACTTGAATATAAGTTTCAATTGGCTTTTATGTCTGCAAGAGGTGTTACCATGAACTTGAATCTTCAAAAATATGCTAAAATGAATTTATTTTAACGTAACCAAATGTCAATCTGGCTGTCAAATAGAATTTCTAGCTGGCTCTGTCACTTTTTGAGAACTTATTTTTGTTTTGTCTTGTTTTTTTGTACTCTCTCATCCCCGAATCGATCTTTTAATAGCTATTGAATGCAACTAAATGCTATGAGAGCCAACCCATGAAATTTATTATAATATATATATACATACTATATCAGTGGATTTTGACCCATTTTGTCCGTTTTACCAAATAGGTTTTGTGTTATTTTCATATTTGTAAAAATGAGTAAAGTCGATAGGAGGAAAATATAGAGCCGCAGTTTCTCCTCATTCGTGTGTTAGATTTGTCTCAATAGGCGAATATTTGAAAAAAATTTTTAATACACCCATTTTCCACCGAGAAGAGTGGAAACAACGAAATGTGTGAAATACTACTCTATATGTACAGGGATCGTTAGAAATGAGAAACTAGTAGCAAAATAGTTGCATTCAAACGTTTTCCACATTTGCAGGTGGAATTATGCAAAACCTCGTATTGGAGCATGTGGTAAATACTTTTTCAACCTCTTCTCAGAATATATACAAACTCCCTATCTTTCCCTGTCTCAGTCTCTCTCACTCTCTTTCTCTCTCTCTCTCCCACTCTGTCTCTGTCTCTCTTACTCTTCGCTCATTTCCCCCGAAGGATCAACGTTGCACAACTGTTTACAAGAGGATTAAAAAAGAGGAAGAAACCCCGCAACTTCGGTTTGCCGAAGTCCAATTTTTGTTTTGTTTTTGTTTTTTTTTTTTTTTTTTTTTTTTGTTATATATAGGAATTCGTTATCATATTTGCCAAAGATAACGCATAAATATGTTCTATATTTGCATTCGGCTTGGTTCGTCCGATCTAATCTTCGACATCCTTCGCAGACAATCAAGGCGAACACCGGCGAGAACCAGCCCGCAGCGCTGTTTGAGTTATGGGCGTCAGCATGGAGTCGGAAGACACAGGCGGCAGCTCCAGATCGTCGTCTGAATCGCCGT